AAAATATGCTGATGATTTCAAACTGTCTCTGACTTCCACCCTGACCTGACACAGACTTGCAGGCTCGAAGGAAATCCATATATCTCTGTCGCTCGCCAACGCCACATCAAGGATTTCCCTTAAAGCACAGTCACATGCCGGGGCTGAGAGGTTTAGAGGAGGAGGTGGAGGAGGCTTGGGGTGGGGGGGTCGGATGAGTGAACCATTCACAGGGAGATTAGCGGTAGTGAGAGTGAAGGAAGAGACGGAAGGAAGAAGTGGTGCGTCTCTGTTTCTACATGGGAGGGAAATACTTGTGTGGAGCGTAGTGAACGTTTGAGGAGGGGATTTAATTTAGAAGAAAGACTGGCAACGAGACGGACCGCGGAAGACAGGCAGAGAGGGGCGACACTAACCCCACGTCTTTCAAAAATTAATTAGAAAATACAGAAGCTCTTCTCAGTAATTCCTCGTCTAATGTCATTTCATGGCTTTGGATGTGAGCATATTCAGACGGCACTTTCTTCCCCRCCACTCCGAATCATAACACGGCAGAAAAGGCTCTTACAAAGGCCCAACTCAAAGGGATAAATTACACTATGAGCTAATTGGAGTTAAATTCACCTATTTGTTCTTTTCGATCCCAAAGCTAATGAGGAAATTTCAGACTAATTACAAAATAAGGAAGTAATATTCATCTTCTCTGCGTGGCGACATAAGCTAAAAAAAAATCAGGAACTTAATGAGCTAATTACATATGAGTGTCTGGGTCATAATTGATTGAGAACAGAGGAGTTTGAGGGTGTGTGTGCTCCCGTGTGGTTCCCCCTGCTGCACTTGACTCTGCAGATCCCAAAAGATCAACAGTATGAAAGAAAGGAGGCGGAAACAAAGAGAGGACTGAAGGGGTTTGGATGGGATTACATTTGGTTTGAGGGAACAAGTGATTCTGGACGTTGAATTTCTGAATGGTCCGAGGCTTTGGTTTTGATGAAAAGGCTTTTTTTATCAACATGAATAAGTCTTAACCCAAAGCCCACCTTCTACTTTATAATATGGTCATCCACAAAGCATATGTGATGGAAATGTATAATTTTTCCATTAGGCTCCACCTTGATTTCTATTTTAAAAAAGATGCTGCTCAGATCTTTGACTGGAATTGCTTTTTGTGACTTCACTTTTTGAGTTCAGGTCCAACATCTAGTCATATTTAGAATGAACAGAACAATTTTTTTTACTTGTTGTCTCTTAAGAGACGGGTGGCAAACTGGTCGGAGTGTGAAACCGTGTCCATCGGTGAATTCCATCAAGAAAAGTATCTGAAAACTGCTTCACCCAAAACAGAATCCATGTTGAAGTAGGGTTGGGCAATACTGACATCAAAATTTATTACGATTAATTGTTGCATGTAGCCGATAACGATTATTATTAAAAAATGACAATTGCACTTGCACCTGGCCAACATTGTGGCCTTGGTCCGCACTTTCTGGCTTCCCTTGTACTACAGTTTATGTCGGTATTTCAGGTGATTAAACAAGTTCATGGGCTTAAGATTAGTTGCTCACATGCACACCTAGAGACAGTAGCTGCTTTTCTGTTGCAAATGTGCGCAAATCTTTGTTGTTATTCTGTTAATGTAGAAAAAACACAGTTTCGCAATTGCTGTGTTTCCATTAAGTAAGACATGCTATTAAAGTCATGTGTGAATATGTTTGTTCTCGCGATAATTCATTACAAACATGGCGGCAATTGATGTAAACACATAGCATATCGCTACCACGACACCTAGTGCTCATCATCAGAGGAGACGTCAGCATCTGATGGAGGCTTTCGAGTGACAAGACCCTTATACTTGGGAGMGGCTACGTATGCTGTGTTTTTGGGAAAATGTAGTCGGTGAGTTTAATACTTTCTTTTACTACTTCGGTGATTTTACTACTACTTTTACTTCCTGTTGTATTCTTCGTCTTCGTCTTGTCGCCAGTAGAAACAGCCGGTTGTTGATCACGTGACTCCTGTGATGCGAAAAAAGTGTTTCCATTGTAGTTTTGCGAAATAAATCAATTTCAATATGGCCGAAAAACCACCTCTTCCTAGCGCAAAAACATTTTGTCGAAAAACGTAATATTTTTTCGAAATTGACGTGTTTCCATTGAGCAAATTTATTTTCGACATTCTAATTTGCGCATTTTCATGGTCAATGGAAACGCAGCTACTGTGTCACACACAAAAAATGCTTCATCTCTTGGCACTGACTGTAGTAATTGTAATGTGGCAAATATTAAATGTTGGCACACGATCTGCACAACCCTTTGTTGAAGCATTGGGCCTCATGCAAGAACCGTACGGTGTGCAGCGCTGCGGCTTCTGAAKAAATGAAAATGATTTAACACAGTTGTTTATACTTTTAGCAGCTCTTTTTAATTTCACAGCTGACCTGCTAAAAATGAAAGATTTTCTTTTCTGGATCTCTGACAGACGGTCTTCAATCTATGAACTCGTAAAGTTTTTCATTTAAGTTTTCGCTGTCATTTTCATGAATGGACACTTCCTTGTAACTGAGGCAGGAAACATAGCCTTATATGGTGTTTTTGGGGTGGTAATTATGCTAATCTCCTCTCGCGTGCACGAGCAGCTGGATACGAACAGGTGGAATTTACGCAGCTCATTTACACCCTTTTCCTGAAGATAGAAGAGTTTGTTGAATCTGACGTGGCATGTTCGTACGAACCCTTTGTACGAACAAAAGTTAAGAGAAATTTAGGATAAGAATACGAACATGTTCTTGCATGAGGCCCATTGAGAGTAATTTTTTAAGTTAGCAGTTGACTGGACAAAAATAACGAAATAAAAAAGTCAGAAAGCTTAACGTTAATAAAGTGAAATGTGATTTCCCTTSCTTTTAATTCGAATATACATCCACAGACTTAAAAAAACGAGAAGTAAACAAACTCTGGGAGCTTCTCTTCCTGCTGCTATAATCTCTAAGAACACTTGGTTCACTCATGATTGAACTAAAGCTGTTTTCCTGGAAAATGCCTGAGCGACGATGAAACCTCTGACCACTCCATAATTAAGCTCAGAAAGGATTTGTCAAATGGAAACTTGCTCACGGAACCCCTCCTCCTCCTCCAACTCAGACTCTAAAAAAAACACCCGATACAATTGAAAACTGAAAAATGTGCATTTCTCTGAAAACACACCTGAGTGACTCCGGGGCTGACGAAACCCCTCAGTCCTAATGAAAATCTCTCTTAAAGTTTATATCTTTCTTTTCCTGAGCTAATCTGGTGAACTGCTCAAAGTAATGATACCATTAATCTCCTGTATAAATTAGTAGCTCCAATACGTCTCCTCTTGCAGAAAATCTCCGGAAGACCTCATAAGACTTCTTTTGTTGTACCTGTGGAGGAGGGGAGGGGAGCGTCAGTGGAAAGAAGMCCCCGCGATATGTCTCAGCTCACCTACCGATTAATCACACACCTTTAGGCGCTGAATTAAAGACCTGTGATAACTGGAGTGGCCTAATCATCTGAATAGCCAGGAGGAGGATCTGTTCCCTCTGAGAGCAAAGCTAAACCAAATGTTAAAGCTTCTCCATGTCCTTCTGTCTTATGGGGTGCCGTTTGTAAAGTTACGCAGTCAAAAATTACCACCAATATTTTTATTTTATTTAGACTTTTAGAAGAAAAAAAGAACAGATTTAATTTTCAAAGTCAGTTTTTCACCATATGATTCATACATTTATAAATGTCATAGTTCATAAACTAAATATTTAAC